GCCAGTGGCAATAGCAAACGATAAAGTTTATTTTCACAGAGTATATTCGTGAAAGAATGTTACATAGATATGGCACATAGCGATGGAGACCAGTTAGAAACTATTTTGCATAGGTACGTACAGATCGATAGAAACTATCTTACTTAGCGCGAATAGAACAGCTATGGGAATCGAGGAAAGCAATGTCAGACGTTAACTTCTCTTCCCTGGTATGGTATAGTATTGTAATCCACTGTTATTTGTTACGTCATCGGAACTTCGCCTTTGGCGTTAGCTCCTCGTTATTTTACCATCCAATTATAGCATGATTAAGACTCGTAGCGCATTTGCGCGCATTTGTGAATGGATTACTATTGTAATCAGGTTGTTATAGAGGAAATCTCTGTCTCTTACGAACAAAATAAATGGTAAGCATTCAAGGCTCGATCAATGTCTTATGAAAGACGATTTCGACAGTCGTATCGTCAGAGATTGTACGGTATACTGGAATAATACGGAGGTACGCGTATAAAACGGTAATGTAGGATGATCGATCAAATGATGCACGGTAATAATTGTGGACGATGTGTTAACGGCACGATCGGCCAACGAAGGTGGCATCGATCGTACGAAGGCTTTCCAAGATAAAAGAAGCTTGCGCGCCTCGTGCGAGTACCGTAAGAGCGACCTTGCCTCGAAATGGCGAAACGGTCCGGGTGCACTACAATAAATGCCTCCGATTCTTTCGCACCTGGTAACTACGAGAACGAGCAGAGAGAAATGACCGGTATCGAGGACGAGGATACCATACCGAGGAGAATTCGGCCAAGGAACGATCCTATCGAAACCTGTCCTTTCGTTACATATATCACATCGTATACCGCTTCTTTCGCCTGCTTTGTATTAAATCAAGAAATAGTTTGATAAATCGCAAAGTCTAAGTAAATCAATTAGGAAACGCAATTACATAAGATTAAATGCCTGTCTGTACTTATCTTTTTTATTTAGCCATTGCAACGTGGTAATATTAACATTCCACAACATTATCGAAATCGTGTAATGGTCAGGAACGTAGTATTCTTGCAACCCAACGAAACAGAAAATTAACGATTTGATGACTCCGTTTAGCAGAGAAATTACTTCATCCGCGTCTCTTCAGTTTCCAAGAAACTCGAACTGACTTGATGAGAATTCAGAAATCGACAAATGCCAATTAAAATCTATTATGCAACGTTCGAATATACACGCACGCGATGAAAAAGTTGAAGGAGAAACCACCAACGCGAGATGGAGATTCCGCACGTCAGAATGATGCTTCGTCGGTTTCCCTCGGACAGGCACAATTTCGTAAGAAGGCCGTGCTACCATACCGTACGAGGTAGCCGGAATATAAAATTACGAAGCGGGTAATCCGAACCTGTACACGTAAGCCGAGCAGATAATTCGAGTTAAGTGGCTCTCGGATAAGTCTCGCAGTTCGGATTTTGCCTCCGTGGCTTCGTCGTTGATCAGAGTAAACGCTAAAAATCTACGTTGAGAGAGTGGCGTTTGTGTGCCCACGCGTTAGCGGCCTCCCTCTCTCGCTCTCTCCTCTTCGACCTCTTCGCGTTTTTCTTCTTCCTACCTTGCCGCCCGGACTCCTACAGAATGGTACGTGTCGTAACCAACTATAAACATTGGCACCTGCGGGCCTGTCACCTTTCTTCTACACGGCCATGCCGGCGATGGCTTTTCTGCAACCTTAAACCTTACCGATTCTCCAACGAAAATGCGAAGGAATCATACGCCAAGAATTTTCTCCGGCTTCCCGCTGCGTCTCTTTGCAACTTCCAACTGCATGGGAAAAAATGGTCACAGGTAAAACTGTGAGAACGATGGCAATCTGAGCGGACCGTGGGATCGGCCGTTCCAAGACGACTTTAATCTTCATAATGAAGTCGACGCTTATCGGTTTCGTTAATTAAGCGAGCGACTCATCGGATCGTAGCCTCCCAAGATGACGGTTGCAGTGGCAACGCCGTAGGGTCTCTTTCGATTTCGAAGAAGCGACGCAAGAAGAATGTAGTCTTGTCATCGACTTACTGATGTACGGTACTTTCGAGTCCTCCAGTTTTTTCGCCCTTTTCCCTTGCTAGCGTATACGCACGTGTCCATCCGACGAACGTTAATTATTCGGATAAACAGCGCGACGCCTTTCTTTCAAGTTATATCGATCCAACTTCTAAGATAATCCTCTCGTTTTCGTTTCAATGGAATGCAGAAGTCACCGCACAGCCGTGTGACAGTTGACTACCATGTAACATAATGTCGTGGCTTTCCAATGGCGGTATTCTACATGCAGAGTACACTAAATCTCTCGAGGGAGGAAAAAATACACATAGCGTGTGTCTTACTTCGCTGTCCGAAACGCCAGGGAAATATATGGCGATCGTTCCGGGGAGGGAATATAAATTTTAGCCGAATTTTTTTCTAATGCCGGTTCTAAACAGTCGACCGATGTGATCGTAAGATATCCACGGGAAGTATCTCGTAACTTATACACCAATGTATCTATATTGAGCTTAAACGCGCCATTTATAAGCACTCGCATCCGTTTAAGTGGCGAACGAGCGTGTTGTCGCGTATATGCAAGCGTAGCAGTGCATTTCTCTTCAGTCTCTCGAAGAATGTCGACCTTTTGCCGCGCCGAAGTATTCTACTACGTGATTCCGTACAATGAGTTCGAATCTGGTCTCCTTCTGGGACACCCGGTATATTTACATAGGGTTTTGCCATGGTACTGGCAAGATGCTGCTGGAAGCGCTGGACCAACACCTGTACAACTACGGTAACCTGTCAAGCTGGAAGGGCAAGGAAGGCCCACCTAACAAAAGCTTTTGCTGTTGGATTTTTTTTTACCTGTTTCTTTTTTCCTCGTCCGTTGAATCTTGGTTTCGGTGCTTGAAAACGTGCGATCGACGCTCTGTTCCAAGAAAAAAGATGCATCTTTTGAAAGAACGAATCGAAATGTTTTGTTTCGATCGATATGAACTATGCTATACCTGTCAGAGCGGAAAGTTAGGTTGACCGAAGCGTAGATATATCGGCACTCATGTGAAATTATCGTCATTACACACAGAAAGGCATATCTTTCAGATACGAGTTATCGCGTTGTCGTACAAGCAGCGAGTAAACCATAGTTTAAATCTTCTCTTGCCGGAAGTAGTCTTTTGCCACGTTTCAAAGTGGCCGGGTTTTATAGAAAAAGCGTTCGATTGTTTGGTACAGTTGAAGAACCACGTAAAAACGCGCATGCATAGGACAATTATTAATATCTAGAAAACCTAATCAAAAAATCGCTTTCCAGTGTAAATTGAGGAACATATGAACTTAAAATCACGAAGGATGATTGACTTAATACCGGTATAAAAAAGACGTAAAGTTTAGTTAGGGATAGCAGGCCGAGATTTAATGAAGGGATAAAGGGCCGGACGAGCGCAGAATGTTGAAGATCCCTTTTGGGACCGAAGAAACGATCGTCTATATGGAAGTAGAGGCCGGCTCGAAAAATCGGATGAAAGAAACAGCAAGTTAAAATAAGCCTGGCTCGTTCTTTGTCGCGTGATCGAAGAGGCAAGAGAGACGGAAATGTCGTGTTCATAAGACACTGCTGAAAATACATTGATGGCTAATAGAAGATGGACTAACGCGTATCAAAATTTTATACGCTCAGCGGTTGTTCTTGTTTGCAATAAGCAGCAAACGGATGGAAAAGGGAAATCAGTATCGGCCCTAAGTATAAATTACTGTGTTGTATAAACGATGTTGAGTAAATAAATTAACGAGTAGATGTTATTTTAACTATTAAGACAAGCATCGAGCAATAGCCTGATAATTTCATTACTGAACAAATTCTTCCAGCCAATTACCAATTTCATTCGAAGTTATGTGTTGTCCGGATATAAGCTGATAGCAATAATCGAGCGTTTATCGATGAAATTGGTCATGTAAAGGCAAACACTTGTTAAATTTCACGGATAATTTGCACAGAAATTGCACGATATCTTTTTAGGACAGCTGGAACTAGACTCCAACGTGCCTTACGATATATTCGCTCGTCTATTCGGCCATGCGTATATACGTGGGTTACGGTACGCTCAATTGATCGAAATTGGTTAATTCGTCGAGACCGAAACTATCCTACTCTCAACCTGGTTAATTATCTGGAGTATTGACCGACAGTAGTTCTCATATAGCATCATTTAAAATGAGGAATTTTTTCCTAAAGATCCTGACAAATTAACGTGTAGACCATGAAACACAATTTAAAGAATAAAAGGAAGAGCAAAGTATTCGTAGAATCAGTTGTTCTTTCTGCGACGATTCATCAGGGAATAAGACACCGACTAGGTTATGCTTATCTACGACGAAAGTGACCGTACGGTGTTCGTTTTACGTGCGGCCAGACATAGGAATTGGTTGCCGGTCTCACGTGTCTTTCGTCTCTCTACGGAGCTGTGGGAGCTCCTTTAGCATATAAAGGAGTCGCTGGTCGCGTCCACACGTCCGCCGTCATGGCGAAACTAGTTCGGCCGTCCAGTTTTTCCACTCCCGTGCACACTTCAGTCGTCTCTTCAATGGTGGGAGACCACATCTCGAACAGTCGCGGTCCTCGTAACGACACGCTAATAATCCCGCAACTTGTTGCTATTCCGCCGCTTAAAGGTCTATTGATCGTCCTAACACCACGTTGATTCGATATTTTCAAAAATGGAGTACGGAACGATGTTTCGTTAACAAAAAGTTATCGCCTTCAGAGATCCAGCCTCTCTACGATCCTGAGGTTGTCTCTCTGATCCTGAGGGTATCTCTACGATAATCCTGAGGTTGTCACGTGACAATTTGACCTATTACAAGCCACAAATTAATCGTCAGCAATCATTTGAATTTTCAATTTCCGCGCGCTTTCCCCCTTTAGTCGATTAGAAAATGATCTCTGAGATGTTTCTATGAGATATTAAAAAATAGGCGATAAGACTCACCGAGATCTTCAACCAGTCGAAGCATGACACCGCCGATGTGCAATTCTCCTTTTACTCGTAAGCTCCTCTCCACTTGAAGATCGGTCACATAAACACGCAGCACCCAGCTGCCGTCCACCTCGTGACCATCGGAATACATTTTTCCCGATCTCGGGCGACCGTACGTCAAAAATATCGAATTATAAACCAACACGTTCTTTAACGCGATGCACCTTCAGCTCCAGACACTCGATTTCGAGAAGAAAAGTTCGTTCTAAGGTGCGAAAATCATGATTTCGCGGCACTTGACATCACCGCGAATACACCTCAAAATTATTCGTCGTTCGGTGAATAACGAGTTGTATTTAATCTAGCAGTATCAGTGGATTTCACGACTTCTTAAGTAAACTCGATTTGGCCTAGTGTACGCACTTGCGATACACTGGTTGCTTTGATCGGACTCGCACAAATTCGTTCCGAATTCTGTATAGAGGCGTTCCAACGTTAGCCTCACGTCCCAGCTGGTTTCTCGACTGGTGTCGACCGTACACTCTCGGCTCGGCTACACTCTCTTGCCGAGAATAGAACTATTTACAAGTAGCGCGCTTGGAATGCGCGCGCAGATCTCTCCCCCCGACAACGTCGCGCGGTAACCCGTCACACAACTCGGTTTCCTTTCCCTTCGCGTCTACAGACTCACCGTGGCCTTACTGTTTCGTCGTTTTTCCTTTCCTATTTCATTGCCTTTGAGTTCTCGTCGTCCTTCTCGATCTTCTCGTGGATGGTGCTCGCGTTGACTCTCCCTTCCTTCTTCGCCGATACGTTGCCTTCTTCCACCACATCGATACACCGTAATCCAGAGAATCCTATGGATCTTTATCCAGATTTTACATTTTCCAAATGCTGTATACCTAAAAGTACTTGCTCCAGTTCTCCCTTCGAATAAGGTAATTAATTTATCTTTTATGGTTGAAACAAGTTATGCATGTGATTCATTATGAGCTATTGTACATACATACATACATACATACATATACGGTTACTTCGATACCAGATATAAGAAGGATTATAAAACGAACTTTTTAAACATATATTATACAGTGGTATTTTAAAATGCTTTAATATATTCAGCCCCTTATTTACTTTTGCCTAAATCTTGTAACGTATACACAATATTGCTTTCAAATCTATAAAGTCTATTTTGATTGGATATGTATCAAGGCATAAAATAGACTTGGCATCTTATAAGATCTCGTATCGTGTGTGCTCTGAAATATCGACTTCAGAAAAATCGGAGTGTTCTGTACTGTCTCTGCAATTTGCTATAGTAAATATAGAAATTATATTTAGTCAATCGGTGTAGTCATTAGCTACGAAAGAATCTTCGTTTTCTAAACTCCCGAAACAAAATTAGACAGGTAGTCAAAATCAGTAAATAATAATTAAAAATTTTGATCTTATGTTATCTGCAGAAATATTGTTCGATATTTCGTTCGATTGCTTCTGATAGCGCTAGTAGACAAGCAGTTTGTGTAGTCTGTGGTATACTGTAGAGTTCTTCTTTTACCTACTCATTTGATTTACCATACCAAATTACGAATCGAAGTCGTAAAGCAATCGAAATATCCAGAATAAATTTGGACAAAAGTTTTATAACGGCATATTTACAGAGAGGTTGTGTGAAATATCACAGAAATAAAAACGTAAGATTATCCATACTTTCCTCAGTAAAGATAAAAAATATAATTTAAGGTTAGAATGTGATAAACAATGTTATATTAGCGTGTGAATTTTTCTCTTTCGTGAAGGTCAAATTTGTACAAAGTTTGGTCGTTGTTCTGGTGATATTTGGTACAATGATCATACACCTCAAAAAATTTATTTTGCCATTGTGCAAATTGAATAAACTTGGAAAGGTACAAAAGCAATTTATTAGATGCGATTCTTCAGAATCTTCACCTGGAATCTTAGAACAGCTAAAAAATAAGAGTATACTGCGGGTTAAAGGAAATGAAGCTTCAAGTTTCTTACAAGGATTAATTACAAATGATATGAAGCATTTTGAAGAAGGGGCAGCAAATTTATATGCATTATTTCTAAATGTCAAGGGTAGAGTAATGTATGATGTTATTATCTATAGAAGCCAAGAAAATAATGTATATTATATTGAATGTGACTCACAAGCTGTAGATTCATTACAGAGACATCTAAAAATGTATCGTGTTAGAAAAAAAATTGATATAGATCATTTAGGAGATAATATAAATGTTTGGGCATTCTTTGATCCTACTCGATATATGAATAACAAATATAATGATAGTAATAAACAAAAACTTGAAGGTTTAATATTTCCATGTGGTACTCTTAATAATAAAGTAAGCAAGGTAGTTGATAATATTATGATATATGAGGATCCTAGACTTCCTGATCTAGGCATCAGAATTTTAGCAGAATCAACAATTGAAAGACAAAAGATAATAAGACATTTAAACTTAGATGCATTACATTCTACTAATGACTTCAATTACAAAACATTTCGATATAAACTTGGTGTTCCTGAAGGTGTAGAAGATTTACCACCAGGAAAACCTTTGCCACTAGAAGTAAATTGTGATTATTTGCATGGTGTTAGTTTTTATAAAGGTTGTTACATTGGTCAGGAACTTACAGCTCGTACTCATCATACTGGTGTTGTAAGAAAACGTTTAATGCCTCTATTATTTAGTGAAATTCCTAATAAATCTTTTTCGTATGATGATAAAATTATTAATGAGTCTGGCAATATAGTAGGTAAATTTAGAGGAATTGAAAATCAGTATGGATTAGGTTTAATGCGAATTATTGAATCTTTGAATGCTCAATCTCTTACTATATCAGATACTAAATTAAGAGTATCAAAACCTGTTTGGTGGCCGCAGGAATTGCAGAAAGTTTCCATTAATAAAAAAGAATGAATGTTAAATACGAGTTAATGTTTATATATATATACTAAGTTGTAATCTATGGTTATAAAATAAATATATTGTCAGGAAAAATTATAGATTATTTTCCATCAATGTTACTTTATAGGATGGAATCTGTCGCTAGTACATCTACAGACGAAGCTCATTTTATCGGACACAATCATGGTTTAACATCAGCAGTTCAAGACCCCAAAGAAATCATAAATGAAATATTTAGGTGCTCTTGTTGTTCATTAGAAGAACGATTTAATTTCAAGGGCATCAAAGCACCATTCGCGCGGCAATTAAATTATCTAGAAGAATGTTATATTATGAAAGATCCTTTTAGTTTACCGAACAAAGGAGAAGTTTTAGTATTAGGAGCTGATTGTAATTTTTGCAAAAAACCTGTATGTTTAGAATGTAGTATATATTTCGGTAAACGGTTTTGTTTAAAATGCGCGTTATGTAATATACAAAATTTGCCATCACAACTACATTCCAAAGTAAAAAATTTAATAAAAGAAAGAGATTCATAAAAATATTTTATTAAACATTAAATACTTGTTTCTACTCTTTTACATTTGAGAAATACATACTGATAACAGTCTTAAAAATGCTAAATCTTTTTGATTACATGTTTTTTCTTACTTCACAATGATATGACAGGTTGCAATTTGTCATTATCGCTAGTATATAAGATATATGAATTAAAATTGAATTGTTACGAAAATGTTTAAGCTAACAGTATACTTTTTATGCCGCTATTTAATTTGATTTTTTCGGTTTAGCCATAAGTTTTTCAGCTAAAAGTTTCTTCTTTTTGTCAAACTTGTTTTTACTTTTCTTTTTGTTTACATCAGATTTTTGACCTTGAAAGTTATTTCCTTGTTGTGGGCTAGTTTCTTTTTTTTCTAGCTTTTGTTTTTTTGTTATTCTTTTTACAGCGTTTTCTTTATTACGAATCTGAAAAATGTAAATTAATATTTTATTAAATAGTAAAACTTAACAGATACATCAAATATTTCTTAAAGAATAATGTTACATACTGTTACTGATGCACCTGCAGTATTTTTCAATTTTTTATGTGAAGAATTATGGTTATTTTCTGCAGAATATCTCTTTCCATATTTTCCTTTTGTTCTTTTATCTTGGTCAATATTTGGTTTTACTCTAATTTCTCTATTTAAAATTGTGGTGCCATCTAGTTCTAATGCTAATGCAACAGCATCTTCACTTTTAAAGTTAACATATCCAAATCCTTTGCCCACTCCAGTCTGATTGTCTCTAATTATTCTCACAGATTGTATTTCTCCACATCGCTTAAAATGATTTCTAACTGAGTCATCATCAACATCTGAAAATTATAGCATTTTTATAATATCATAATATTAGTTAATCATGTAATTAATCTTTATTACTTTTATCCTGTATTATACTTACTAAAATGTAAATTTCCTATGAATACACTTTTTTTTGTTTCATATCTGTCATTTGATTTCATAGACATGTCTACTCTTATATAATTTCCTTCAAATTTTCTTCCATTTACGGACAAAGCTTTCTTAGTAGATTCTTCAGATTCAAATCTAATATATGCATAAACTGATTTCATTTTAGGGTGCAATTCATTTGTGATAGCTGCAACTCGTTTAGGTATATTGAGGGATTTTGATATTTTACCCCTTAAACGAATAGCATCAATCTTCCCAAATTGCTTAAATAACTTCTGTAACTGTTTCTTTGTTACATCTTTTGGGAGATTACCAACAAAAATTGTTCGTTCATTTTCTTTAAAGTCTTCTAAAGAGGAATCTTTATCTTGACGAGAGTTTAATGATCTGTTTCCTTCTACTTCTCCTTCTTTTTCATCTTCTTCATCACTTATATCATCATCTTCATCATCCTCAGTTGGTTGAACGAAATCATCATCATCATTATCATCCTCAATAGTAGTGTCAGCCACCAGTGTTTTTAGAAGACCTGATCCTTCATTCTTAAATTTTTCATCTTCATCAATTGTATCATCAGTTTCGTTATTCTCGTCAAAATCATCAAAGTCTTCGTCATCTTCATCCTCGGAAAGACTATCTCCCAGAAGTACCTTTAGAGAACCCACAGAAGATTCATCAGTCTTTCCTCCATTCTCAGATTCTGAATCTTCTGTATCATCCTCTTCTTCCTCTTCTTCATCATCCTCATCATCGTCGTAATCATCATCATCATCAACCTCATCATCACTATCCTCAGTCATAGAATCATCCTTGTCTTCATTGGAAATAATGCTGTCATTTGATCTTACTCCATCAAACATTTTTACACCTTTATTTACTTGTACTTTTTTGTCTTCCTCATAATCTTCATCATCTTCATCACTATCATCTGCTAGACTGGCACCAAGGATATCTGGTAAGATTTTTTCCTCTTCACTTTTATTACCATCAGATGATTCACTCTCATCAGTACTTTCAATTATGCTATCCTGTAATACAATTCCTTCATTGATAGAATCATTCTCTTTGACCTCCCCAAAATTTTTATTTTTTTTTTGTTTCTTTAAAGATTCTTGCAGATCTTCAACATCTTTCTTTCTCAGTCCTTTATTTTCTTCTGGAGATTTCTGAGGTGTATTATTTTTCATATTGTTACTATTTGACTTCTTTGATCCATTAATTAATGGAACTTTTCCAGTTGGTATTTGTTTAAATTTTTTATTTTTATTTTTTTGTATAAATCCATCCTTTGGTACATTCAGTAAGTGTTTGGAAGTTAAATTTTTACCTTCCTTTGGTTGTGATTTAACCATTTTTGTCAAAAAACCTTATGTCGTCGTTTAAAACAACAGCTATCCTGTTATAGATAGAAGAAATAATTAATCTTACATGCACATATTGTCCTTATTCTGTTTCAAACAATTTAAATTTTTTAAGATCATTGATTCATTTAGGAGTACGTTATATAGTAGTTCAATCAAAGATAGGTTAATACAGAAAGTTAATAATTAAATCATAGCCATTAATAGAATTAATTATTATTAATATACTTAATAAGAAATAATACTAAATACTCACTACGGTTATATGTATACAAATCAAGCCGCCAAAGAAAAACTCACTTCTCAATACGCCGGCTCAGAGTGAACACACTTTAAGCGCCAACAGGAAGAACGAAATCAGCCATTAATATTCTATATACCTCATTTTTGAATGTCAACGTATTAACGAAAAACAAAATTCTCTATATCTTACTTTAAATGCAATTTCCCTATGAATCCAATAACCAATTGCAATCTTACATTCATAATTTTTAACGGAAACATTAGACAATTGCACAAAAATCGGGTCCCAAGTTTTGCAAGTATGCAGGTGTAGAAACAATTGTATGCTACATAGCCACAAGCTTTGGTAGACCTTAACACGCTAGACCTTTAACTCAAAAATAAAAATTTTTTATTTTTGATTTATGATCAATGGAACTTTTGTGAACACATTTGTTACATTTTTCTGATTGAAATGACACTAAATACAACGTATGTAATTTGGAGAATATTTGCTTACTTACTAAATGATAGTTAAATACATATGAATAAGTAAATGTAATTCAAATTATATCGTGTTTGGTCTCATTTTAATCAGAAAGATGTCACAAATACGTTGGTGAAAGATTAATTTTAAAAAGGTCAAAAATAAAAATGTTTCTCTTTTAAATTAGTATCTAAATATATTATTTCAGCGATATTTAACAATGAATTATGTTACACTATTCGATCGCGGCGAGCCGCAAAGATTCGTTGTAAACCCTGGGTGTAAAAACAGTGGGGTTTGCGACGGTACAATCTTTGTGCGCTCTTTTTGTTCAGTTATCGAATGTTTCTGTATATTCGAAGTTGTTACGAAAAGTAAACGATTCAATTAAAAAATAAATGCAAATATTTTATACTAAAATATGATTAGAGACACCATTGGAATCATAACATTTACACATATGTAAATGTTGTTTCAATGTGAAAGGAGAGGTTATGTTGTACAGTATTTTCGTGATTTTGTAAGATTCAGAATTTATATAAATATTCGCTTCAAAAATTAATATATCTATAGTTATCGATAGGAAGATTTAGGTAAATTTTCATTGACATTGTATCCTTCTGTAATAATTTTTATGGAACTAGGTTACTTTGTCCAGATATAAAGTGTCAGAATCATGTGGCTGCATTTTCCATGTTTCAGATTATATTTGAGTTGTATACAATGGACGGAGTAGGATTATTTAATACTTTTCTTCAAACACACCAACCTCAATTAGAATCTTCTGGGGTGCCAAGAATATATTGGCACATTCTATTTAAAAAACTTCAGTACCAGATATTTGATGCAGGTCTAATATTTCAATTAATGAGGATTGATTACGATACTGATAAGAAGGGTGCAAAGGATCCTATTTGGAAGCTCTTTGTTTGTCATAAGGAAGGCATTGCTGTTAAGGATCCAAACAATATTTATTTGATAGATCATGCATGGACATATGATGTTAACAATGCAAGGCAAAATTTATCAACTATTCCAGATCTATTAGATCGTATGTGTTCCTTAATGGGTTTTGACACAGATGCAGAGGAAGATGAAAAGATAGAATTTGTATTAAATGAAATGTGGAGGTACAATCAATCTTTTGCTATAAATAGTGGTTCCATAGAGGATAGAATGCCAGTTTGGTATATTATGGATGAAGTAGGATCAGCAATAAATCATAGTGATAACCCCAACTTTAGAACAGTGCCTTTCTTGCATTTACCAGATGGTGTTACTTATACACTTTTGTTTCCTATAAAAGATGTTGATTACGAAGAAGAAGTTACAAGAAACTTTATAGAAGGGCAAACAAGAGACCAAAGGAAACAGAAAGCGTTATTGTTACCTTGGATAGAAATATCATTTATCGAAGAAAGCTTCTTGCAAATTGAACCAGATGAACAATACTTTTTGGCAGGTCGTATTCATGAAAGTCTACCAGAAAATGTGGATTCTAAATCTCCTGAAAGAGCTAAAGGTACGAAATTAAAAGTTTTTTCAGAATATACATATGTA